AGTGATTTCTAATAACAGAATCTGATAAACACCCTCAGAAAACTGTACAGGCAGATGATCACCAGTCATTGCCCATCAACTGGACTGTATTACATGACCACGTTGTTTATTCCCAGCCCTTGAGTGGTGCCAATATGCTTCAATTTAAAGCAGCTACAAGTGGCTAGGATAATGTATGCAAATATATTGAATAGCAGTTTTTAAAGTGGTAATTGTTTCAATTTCTGATCATCTGACCGCACAGTTGTAAACAATCTTTTTAAAGTGGTCATGTCACCGCAGCTGCAATCTGCCCTCTACATAATAGCTCCCTATTACAGAGCACTCATACGTAAAATGAATGATCAGTATCTGCTTCTCTCCTTCTCCCAAGGGATGCTAACCATGTCAAATAAAAATGCTTTGCTTAAAGGGATAAAAATGTGAACTAGAAAAAGATTTTGCATGTGTTAGAAAGCACAGAACTCCTAAGGACAGTATAGCTCCTTACTACATGGAAATTAAGAGGTTGTTCAGAAAATATATTTGTATGTTTGGATATAAATCAAAATTATATAATCCTGTTTAACAAAAGTGATGTAGAATTCAATTGGTCATTAATAGTGAAAAAACTTGACTGCATTTAATAGCTATGAACCTTTAAAAATCAGCAGATTTTAAAGCTTGAAAATCTTCTAGGCTCTTCTCCCCTTCCCCTGTTCCCCAGTCTCCCCTTCCAGTTTGATGAGCCCACATCCCATTCTGAGGCACTGAGGTCTTAACATCAGCCTTTGGTCCTGGAAGTTTAGAGTCAGAAGTACTTGGCTGTCAGATACTTATGGATTTTATCAAATCTGTGTTGGCCACAAGGTGAATCTGCAAAACACCTCCTCCTCCTAGGCATCTCTATTGTTTGTATTTTCCACATAGCTAATACTGGATAATTTCCAATATGTTAACCTAAGTTCCAAATGTGATTGCTAATGTAAAACCTTGACATTCTGGTTTTCATTTTTACTAGGCTGACAGAAAAATAATGGAGCAGGCAGTTGTGTTTCAAGACTCTGAGATTAATCCTATCTACTTAATCATGGGTCTTTTGATCTGTCATATTTCAATTATAAGCAAATTTTCACATTAAGTAAACATTAACCCAAAATGGAGCACAGTATCTAGCTAGTAATTGGATATGACACCCCACAAAGCCTTAATTTTGCATAAAGCCCACAAAAGAAGTAGCAAAGTCAGTTACAGAATAAATCTTACCAACCAGTTAGCAATGTCCTGCTGCAAGCACCCACACAGACCTCAAGCCATTTGCAAAATGGAAGCTGCAAACAGCAAAGGAAGCAGCTTGGCCTTGGAATTGTGTCAGCTGCCAAGGGCTGCAGACACTGGGATTCAGTCATGCACCAAAATGCCCGATGGAAGGAGCCCGACATACCAACCTGAGACTGAGCTGCAGCTTTGAAATGTGTTAACCTGTGGGACAGGCAGTGGTTTCTAACTCTGGCCTGAAGGTAAAATCTTCACTAGTAAAAATATGGATACGTATTACTGAGTAAGGTTGAAGATGAAAATGCAGTAATCACATTTAAATCAAAAGGAGTTGTTCATTAAAATTTTGCTTCAGTTAATAAATGTTCTTTTTTTTTTCTCAGTTTCTCAGTCCTGTTCTACATTTATTGACTTTTTTCTTATTAGGTTTTCTGGGCATTTATCTTAAAATTCAAGTCTCCTTAAAAGTTCTGAATAAGGTATAAAAACATTATTCCATTTCACTGACAATGATCAGTGTAATTTCTGAGGGCAATATTTCATGTAATCTTCACAAAATTCATAAGCAATATGAAAACTCATTTGAATAGTTTATTACATCCTTGATTTGGTATAAATAAAACTGTTACATTCTACTGTTTTATCCTTGTCATGCAATCCCAATATTCACTGCTGCAATAAATTGTCTTACAAACAACAAAAGATCATAAAACACATTTAAGAGATGTCACAAATAGGGAACAAAAAGGAAATTATCTAGTGCAATATTTCTGAGTGCAAAACCCCTGAAACATGTAGCAACCAATCAGTAAATAATTGCTTTGTAAATGTGAAATGAAGCAGAGGGGATAAAACTAACAAACAAGTCATAAAGTACAATTGTTACTTATTTGGAGTGATTATGATTCCATGGAGTGAAGAGGGGCACAAAAAGGCTGGTTAATGTTCAAGGATCACCTCTGCAAAGCTTAAGAGTATCACAATGAGGAGGAAGACAGGCAAAAATGACAGGAGCCTTATATGGATGAACAAGGAGCTCCTGGACAAACTCAAAAAGGAAGCCAACAGCAGGTGGACACAGAACAGGTAGCCTGGGAGGAATATAGGAATTGTCCAAGCAGCCAGGGCTCATTTTAGGAAAGCAAAAGTCTTGGTAGAATTAAAATTGTCCAGGGCAACAGGAGAAGTACATCAGTGATAAAGAGAAGATTAGGGAAAATGTGGGCCCTGTCTGGAACAAAATGGGAGACCTGGCTATCCAGGACAGGGAGAATGCTGAGGTAATCAATGACTTCTTTGCCTTGGTCTTCACATCTGAGTGCTCCAGGATGACTGCCCATGTCACAGAAGGTGAAGGTGGGGACTGGGGGAATGAAGAATTGTCCACTATAGGAGAGGATCAGACTTGAGAACATCTAAGGAACATGAAGGTGCACAAGACCATGGGACCTGACGAGATGCATCTGCTCGTTCTGAGAGAACTGTCTGAGGAAGTGGCTCAGCCACTACCCATTGTATTTGAGAAGTCATGTCAGTCCACTGAAGCTCCCACTGACTGGAAAAGGGGAGAAGTAAACCCCACTTTCAGAAAGAGAAATAAGGAAGACACAGGAAACTACAGCTCTTTCAGCCTCACCTCAGGTCAGAAGGATCATGGAAACAAATCCTTCTGGAAGCTTTGCAAAGACACGTGTAAAATGAAGAGGTGAATGGTGACAGCTAATCTGGCTTCACTAAGGGCAAATCATGACTGATAAATTTGGTGGCCTTCTATGACAGGGTCTATTGCTGCCACTGTCAACCATGTTCAAAATGTCATAACAAAGAATCTGTTCTTATATTTCCTCCAGTGCAGCTATTATACTTGTGCTGGAAGATACATATACTTCTTACAAATAAATAATGCGTCACCCAAAATATATGCTTGCACGGATGCTGAGTATTACAACGAAGTTTAATACTACTCCCAAACCACAGCCAGTCTCTCTCCCTTATTCACTCAGGTTGAACAGAACATAACACATGATAGATGTTAAAAATCCAGGTGCCATCATCATTGCACCATGCTAGAATGGAGGAGCTCTCTTTAAGAATGAAAAGGACATAAGAAGGTAACTTTAAAACAAGAACCTCTTATAGAAACAAACTGAAGTTTTGGAAAGTCATGAACAACTGGAAATAGGGTTATCCAAATGACAAAGACTGGCAAATTTGTAATTGGGCCTGTTATCATTTTAAGCTATAACACACCAGACTTTTCAGGAACATATTACTTAAAGATAAATTTTCTTCCAGTGTAGTGGCTTGGCAGATCTTCACCATTAGTTTGCAGCCAAAATGTCATTCCACGACATGCTTCCAGCATTACAATTTTGACCTAGTTTGTCCCTTGTATTTTATGTTCAACATAAAGACAGAAATCATGAAAAAGAAAATGCTTTCTTGTCTCACAGTTATTTCAAAGAATTTTAAATGGTATTTTATTAACAGTGTTCCCAAACTGGAAGCATAAGGAGATCAGAAGAAAGAATCAGAAAGACAGATTTAACTTGTTTAAAATGCAGCTCATTTCTGGGCACTCAATGCCAAAAAACTTTTTTTATTTGAAAGAAATTTCCAGATGTTTATTTTTAACAATCTTCAGTTACTTAGTTTGTGTTATTAAAAAAAAAGTATTTGTTTGCTCTTATAAATTTAGCATTCAAATAGTCTACTTCAATATTTTACTTGTAACGTATTCCCCTTTTCCCACATCAAGAAGCCCACACCAAAAAAGGAGTTGAAATTCTGCCATGCAAGTATTTGTATGCCTCACCTGAACATCTTTTATCTTGGCTTCCTGTTACTCATAAAAAAAGGCATTCTTTGAATCCTTCCATTATCATCAAGAGACCTGAACAGACACTTCATTTTTTCAATCAAAAATTGAAACAGACTCTCATCATATTCTTTTTAAGGGATGTAACTTCTGAACATTTTTAGAGCACTAAGAACTCTCAGGACCTCAGAAAACAACTCATGTAATTCTAGTACTACTTCACTTAATATTTAGTATGCATATGCTTCAATTCTAAGACAAATTGAAGTATGAAAATAGCATGGAATGAATTTATAAATGTGGAAAAAATAATTTTCAGAGAATTTGAGGAAAATCAATAGACATGAAAGTAAATATTTCAGAAAGTGATATATTTAGTATAAATCAAATTGAAAAAGTTCACAGCTTTAGAGTACATTTCTGCACTCTCCTAGCTGATGGAAGATTGTAAACTATGGTCTGAGTCATAAGGTGAATAGAAATTACTTAGGAATGTTTTGCTCATGCTGTTTGCTCCACAAGAAATTCATTCACTTCATTAGCAAGATATTTAGGTAAATTGCTACATGTATTAAAATATTTTTACAGACTTAAATATTCAAAAATCTTGAAACCGTACTCTTATACAAATGACTAATATCTGCAATCAGAAAACAAAAATAATCTACCAGGTTCTCCAGAAAAGAAGAAAGGAAAGCAAAAAAAAAGTGGCAAATGGAAACAATAAAATACGTAGAAAATGTATCAGGGCATCATCTGTGACACTTAATGGCCTGTTTGGCATCTCCTCCCTGGGACAAAAGAATGAAAGATGAAAGTTCAACAGAACAGGGTGAAGGGTTTTTTTTTCCTTAGTCTAAAGAAGGAACAAACTCAATGCAACAAAACCACAACATGTCACAGAAGAATGTTACAAGTGACTTACAGGAACCAGGAATTTTTTTATTTCTTCCAAGGCATGACTCATACGAGAATATGCTTCCCCAGGCGGAGCAAACACTTCAATTAATACGTGGAGCTCATCACTCAAGTGCGCGTATTTGGCCTCTCCACTTTTCCTTAGTTCTTCCTCCTACAAAGAAGAAGGGTGGATTTGGTTTTTAGAACTGGAAATCTACTAATTTTGCAGTGATTTATCATTCACGGACAACATGACAGAAGAACATATTATAAACAGACTTTTAAATCCTCTGAGAAATAAAAATCTGGTTCAAACCACTTAAAGATTCAAAAATCAATTTTGAGTGTTTGAATGATAAAACCAGCATAATTATCATCTCAACCAGATATTAATCACACAACGAAAAAATGCTAAAAACTCCAGAAAGAAGTACTGACATAAATCCATAATGGAAAAGCTGCATTCATATGTCTGAATCTTGGCTCTTAACACCAACAACAAAAAACCCATAAAATAAAGATACATTTAACCATTTCAGAACACTATTGTTCAGTAAACTCTTTAGGTTCTTTAACAAATATCTGCAGCCTGTACATTTTAGTATCACCAAAGAAAAATATGTCCTAAGACTTTTATTTGAGACACAGAATCACAAGATAGTTTGGGTGTAAAGGGAACCAAAGACTACATATGTAGTTCCAGTGCCCCGGTCATGAACAGAGATATCTTCCACTAAATCAGGTTGCTCAGGGCTCCATCCAACCTGGCTTTAAACACTCCTGGGGATGCGGCATCCACAACCTCTCGGGTCAAACTGCTCCAGTGTCTCACCACACTCACAGTGAAGAACCTTTTCCTAATGTTTAACCTACTCTAATTTAGTTTAAAGCCACTACCCCTTGTACCCTCACTATGTGCCTTTTTACAAAGTCCCTCTCAGGCTTTTTTGCCCTCTTTCTGTAGTTGAAAGGTGCCATAAATTTACCCTGAGCCTTCTCTTTTCCAGGCTCTTCATAGCAGAAGGGCTCCAGCACTGATCATCTTCAGAGCCCTTCTCTGGACTTGCTCCAACAGATCCATGTGCTTCTTCTGTTGAGGGCTCCTGAGCTGCTCTCAGTACTCAGTGATGTCTGAGTTTCAGCCCCAGCCCAAATTCAGGGTACATATGCAATGCAGCACACACCAGCTCAGATGGTGAATCACCTCACCAAGATATAACTCAACCACTTTTGGGTCCCACTTTTCTAGCTATAAAATAAGCCTAATAATCCTACTTCATGTTAGAGTAATGTTCTGAAATGTCAATCCACTTTCTTACACAAAGCTTTGAGATAGCAAATGTAAATTGCAAAATACATTTGTATATTCATACATGCTGCATAAAAATCAAAGACATAGAATAGTGATCATGATCATGTTAATGGCACTGGTTATGACAACATAATGAAAAATCTATGCCATTACTACACAAGATAGTCATAAGTAATGCTAAAGAAATGATGAGCTCAACTCTCAGTCTTCAAAAATACTTTGAGAAATGTAATTTAGAAGAAAATATGTATATATAGAAAACATTATCATAGAAATAGAAGTAAACTAATTTGCTTGAAAATGGTGAAGAGGTTACAGCTTTTTAGTATATACTAAAATAATAGTTTATGAACATTTTGCTAAGATATAAAAACCGTAACAAGAGATTACAATTCTTCCTGATTTAGTTTATTTAATTCTACATTAGCTTCTCTTATTCTAGCCTTGACTAATTTATACCCCTGCTTGCTACTAAAAACATTGGCAAGATGCCACGCTCCTAACAGTAAGTATTCAGTTCTTTTTATCTATGTTAGAAGATCCAGCCTCAAAGACTTTTTGATTTTCCAGAGAATACATAAAGGCTACATCCTGTAGCTCCAGAGCCCAAGATCTGGCTCCGTGCTAAGTACACATTTTGCAGATTATGATAAAATCATAACCCAATAGATGTGAACTATTATTTTATTTTAAAATTTGAAAATTGACATATTTGTTTGTAACTGAAACCAAGAAATTAAGACATAATTGTCTCAGTATTTTTATTTTTACAGTTAAATTATCTTTGGCGTTTATCACTGAAATCTCATTGAAATATCCATAAGAAACATAGCATAATATAAAAGTCCATCATGAGATGTTACAGAACCTTTCAATTTTTTGGAAAAAACCCCACACATTTGATTATTACTTCTGGAAAAAAATTGGTATGGAAATTTCAATAGAATTAAATTTTAACACTTATAAAGACACATATTAGTGGTTGGTGGAAGTTTCTTTCCTGTTGCTTTTTGAAGATTCCGAGAAAAAAAAAAACAAAACAACAAAAAAACTACAAATGTCAGAAAGCCCCAAAAGTTATCTTTCAGGAAAAGACTACTACTAAACTTAGAATTTAGAAAGCAAAAGAATAATGTTTGAGTCATTATTTTGATGAGGATTTTGTACAGCTAAGACATCAGCAACATGAATTTATAACACACACCTGGAATATACTACTTTGGTGGCAACAATGGTAATTATGTTCTCTTTTAGTTCCTGAACAAACTCAGGATTTCTTACAACACATCATTTTATAACCTGCCTCTTTGGTTCATCATATTCTTTCTGTCACTACTTGGTGCTCATTTCTACAGCTGCTGGAAGCCACATTTCTTCGTGAGGATACCTAATGAGGTTTCTTCTTGTGGAACACATGGGGTTAAAGACTGAATTCTCACACAGTATCTCTTCCCATCATAGGGTAAAATATCACAATAATGCTTCTTTTATTGCAAGTGTATGTACAGAGACAAAGAAACTTAATTAAGGAAAACTATTGAGGAGTAAGAACTCAGAGACCTGTACCAAACTCTCCTTTCCAAAGCCAGTGGATATGACTGAGTATCTGGGGACTGAATGTAGCCTTACATTTAATCATATGCCAGATATCAGGCATCTAACAAGCAAACAACAGACATGACTCACGTTTCTGGGCAGACACTCGTTGGTATGGCAGGTGATACCTACTGGCAGCTAATACAGCTTTCCAAATGCAGCACAGATGAACAGGCCCTCCCAGGAGCACATGGAGATGGATGGACAACACCTTTGCAAATCTTCTTCAGGAAGCAGCACATCCCAACTGCACAGCACAACAGTCATTGTCGTGGACCCAATATCCACACTGCTTCTATTTAGGATGACACTACTGCCTCTTGTGTAGCACAACAGTGGGTTTTTTCTCCTGCTGGTTGTACTCTGGTTGCAATAACTGAGTTGCCATTAGAAGCCAGAGAGCTTTTCTGGAGCCCAACCTTGATTTAGTTTCATAGGAGAGGAGTTCAGTTAAAACCCTGTGAGCTCTGCTCACTTTAAATAATGGGAATTGGGAATGATCAGGAGGCTCTCCTCTAAACTGTGCTTCTGAGTCAAATGAAAACACTAATGAATAATAACCCATGTAGGACTGGTAAGGACTGAAATAGATTATGAGACTTTCCAGCACCTGGTACATTAAGGCAGAATAAGTGAGATCATCATAAATCTATTTTTTATGGTGTTCTTTACAAGGCTATCTGGGTGCTAATGGCCTTGCAAGGCCCTAGTGGCCTGTAATGCACCAGTGCAATTACTTGTGGACTTCGGCTGTTTCTCATATAACTCTGCCTTAATCACCTCTGAGGTTCAGGTATTCCCCATGGTGCAGCCAGTAACTTGGCAGATTCTCACAGCTTTTTACATTCTACATCATGGCCAGCAGTTTTGTAGACCCTGTTCAGCTTGCACAACTTTGGCCAGTGTCCACCCAGCAGCCAGGTTGTTCCCTCACAGCCCAAGCACAAAAATGGTAGCTGCTTAAGCTTACTCATGTAGACATGAAATGAATCCCAGTAGAAGGTGATGCACATTGAAAGCCTGATGGATCCACTGAATCAAAATGCAGTTAAGTCTCAGGCACTGGATCTTAGGATAGAAAACAACAAATCAGTTGATCAGTTCTGATCAGTTCTGCTTTAGTGATTGTGAAAAGGAAAGGAATAGATTCCTTGGGCTTCTGGATTAGTGATGGCAACTACTCTTAGTACTGACTCTCAAATTCTTACTTAGTTCATGGTGACAGTGTTTTACTTCAGTGTGGGTTGAGCATAGCAGAGAAAACATGTATCATCCTCTAGAGACAACTGCCCCTCATCCTGATCCTCTTCTACTCTATTCTGCATGTCAATTCCCTTCATTCCTCAAGAGTGACAGAAGCCAGGTCCCCTCATACAGTGTGTTTCAGGCTTCCTTCATTCCCTTCATTCTCTTTTCCTCTCACTCTTAGAGTGTCTGTCACGCAGTACTGAAGTCCATCCACCCTCAACATGCATGGCTCTATAGCCCACTCCCTCATAAGGATAACAGGTATTTTGAAACATTTGCTGTATTTTGTAATTTCCAGTTGACTAAAGCAGGGAAAATTACTTATGAAACTCTACAGCAGAAATATTAGGAGTACCAACCTCTGCAAAAGTGAAGAATGGGAGTGATAGGAACATAAAGGCCAAGAAGAATGATGAATTATCTCTGGATGTAAAAGGAGTTTTAACATTTTAAAAGGATGTGTGTTGACAGAAAACTGCTTTCTGTCTGGAAGCCTGGCCAAAATGCTTGAATAAAAATACTGAAATAAAGTTGAAATAAAGGGAGTTTGCAGAAAACAAAGTTACACAGTCCAGATTGGTGAATCAAAAGTGTCCTTGTAACACTGAAATAACAGGATATCAAAGAATAATAGAAATGAAACTTGAAGTAGGAATTGTGTAGATCTCAGAGATAAATTTCATCAATACAATACAAAGAACTTCCTATAATTAAACAAATACGAGAAAAGAAACAATGGGTGCTTGAGGAACAATATGAGAATTGCAATGGATTTAATATTTTGCAAGAATTTACAAAGAAAAGCATCGTGCAGAGACCAGACAAAGATGATAATCACAGGGTTGCTGCTACACGGGCATTATTCAGAGGATCAATGGGCAATGCTACAGAAGAAAATTAATGAGTATGCAGTTTGAGAAATGCAAACCTATTCATTTTTAATCTGGACATAAATAAAAAAAATCAAAATGTTGTCTGCCACACTGAATGTAGTAAAAGTTACAGTGAACTAATTT